GGTTTCTTTCCGCCTTCGCCGGGCTCTGTTCTCTCAGGGTGGGGTTAGGGGGTCCCCGCTGTCCCTTCGGGCCCCGGGAGGGGGAAGTGCTTTATGTGGGGGCTCCTCTTTGTTCCCTCAGGGCTGAGGTAGAGGTTTTAGTTGGGGAGAATTGCTGCCGGTCCCTGGGGAGGGAGCGGGAAGTATCTGTGCTTGTCTTCCCCTTGTCTTATCAGGGGCTGCCTATATATATGTGTGCTTTGTGGGATTAAATAGATATTATGCCTCCCTGTTGTCTCCACTCAAGCCCGGGGAGTTCTGTGGGGCAAGCTTTGAAGGTTCCTCAATACCCTCTCACATTAGATCCCTCAGCACCTTAAATCTTTTTGGGCTCATAGTGCATGTGGGCAAGTGTCAGGGCTCCTTGATGTTCCTGCTGTGTTCCCTCTGAGGAGGGGTTCTGTGACATCTCCATGTCCCCGCTCACCTCAGGCCTGGTCAGCATGGCGGATGAGGAGATTGCAGCCCTCGTGGTGGACAATGGCTCTGGCATGTGCAAGGCAGGATTTGCAGGGGATGATGCCCCCCGTGCTGTGTTCCCATCCATTGTGGGGCGTCCCCGACATCAGGGTGTCATGGTGGGTATGGGGCAGAAAGACAGCTACGTGGGGGACGAGGCCCAGAGCAAGAGGGGCATCCTCACCCTGAAGTATCCCATTGAGCATGGCATCGTCACCAACTGGGATGACATGGAGAAGATCTGGCACCACACCTTCTACAATGAGCTGCGTGTTGCCCCAGAGGAGCACCCTGTCCTGCTCACTGAGGCCCCCCTGAACCCCAAGGCCAACCGGGAGAAGATGACCCAGATCATGTTTGAGACCTTCAACACCCCAGCTATGTATGTAGCCATCCAGGCTGTGCTGTCCCTCTATGCCTCTGGCCGTACCACCGGCATAGTCATGGACTCTGGGGATGGTGTCACCCACACTGTGCCCATCTACGAAGGCTACGCGCTGCCCCATGCTATCCTGCGCCTAGACTTGGCTGGCCGTGACCTGACTGACTATCTCATGAAGATCCTCACGGAGCGAGGCTACAGCTTCACCACCACGGCTGAGAGAGAGATTGTGCGGGACATCAAGGAGAAGCTTTGCTATGTTGCTCTGGACTTTGAGCAGGAGATGGCCACAGCTGCCTCATCCTCTTCCCTGGAGAAGAGCTATGAGCTGCCCGATGGGCAGGTGATCACCATCGGGAATGAGCGTTTCCGATGCCCTGAGGCCATCTTCCAGCCCTCCTTCCTGGGCATGGAGTCCTGTGGCATCCATGAGACCACCTTCAACTCCATCATGAAGTGCGATGTGGACATCAGGAAGGACCTGTATGCCAACACTGTGTTGTCTGGGGGTACCACCATGTACCCTGGCATCGCCGACAGGATGCAGAAAGAAATCACAGCCCTGGCTCCCAGCACTATGAAGATCAAGATCATCGCCCCGCCAGAGCGTAAATACTCCGTCTGGATCGGTGGCTCCATCTTGGCATCTCTCTCCACCTTCCAGCAGATGTGGATCAGCAAGCAGGAGTATGATGAGTCCGGCCCCTCCATCGTCCATCGCAAATGCTTCTAGAGGGACTGCTGGCAGTCACCCCAAGGGCCGTCCTCGCTAGGGTGCGTGTGGGGATGACCTCCTCCTTCCACGTTGGACCAGAATCGTTTGACTGTCACTTATAATATGTTTTAACTAATTTGTTGAGGTACTGAGTAGTGACATGTGCGTTTTAATGGCCCGTTAGGCTGTAGTTCTGGGGCTGGCTAGCTGCCGCTCCTCCTCATGGTTCTAGACAGAAGATTGTTCACTTCTCCTGTGCAACACTGGTAGGATAACACTAAAGTTAGACTTGTCACCTTTAGGTTTGTCACAACTGATGCTCCTTTGTAGGAAAACAAATAAACTTCTTAGGCTTAAAAACTGTAAGAGGTTATTTTGCTTTCTTTCAGGGTGGGGTCTGTATCTCCTTGCTACAAAAGAATTAGTGTGTGATATGCTGTTTTGGACTCAAAACTGGCCCCCCAAAAGACAAAGTTTGGGGGAAATGCTCTCCAAATTGTGTAATGGCACCTTTTAAAGCTGCCTTGGGCTGTGCAGACCATTTAAAGAGCTGTTTGGGAGGAAAGCTTGACCGGTATGTGGCTTGTGCAGCCTTTCTGTACTTTCATGGTAACTTGGCTTTTTTTAGAACACAAACAGCTCTCCTTGTCAGAAAAAGTTGGTGCCTTGGCACAGGTCTTGGTGACCGGAGGCATCACGGCCTCTCCTTTTTTGGGAGAGGGTGACAAGATGAAGCAGCAGATAGCTCTGCAGCTTGCTGGGCTGAGGGAAGCTGGTCCCTCCTGCTCCAGGAGGTTGTCTAGGGGAGCTCCTTTTCCATGGGAAGGGTGGCAACTGCTTAATTAAACGTCATTAACTGAAAGGCAGCTGTGGTGAGGTGGAGGGCTGTGTTTGGTCATGTCCTCGTGGCTTCTGACCTCCTGGGCCATCCACCTTCCTACTGAACCTTGTTCTTCCCGTCCCCCCCCCGCCTCCGATCCGCTTAAGCCTTGTGTTTGGAGCCGGGGGCTGGCCGCTCCTCTCGCTTTTAACCCCTCAGCCGGCTGCCTATTGGCTCGTTTCTGACAGGGTCAGCCAATCGGCAGTTCCCCCGGAGCCGCCGAAGCGTTTAGGCACCGCCTTCTGTGCCGGACTCGGTTTCCCAGGGTGCACCGCTGCAGCCGCCCAGTACTTCCGTTTCCGGTGCGCCCCGGGGGTCCTGGTAGAGCGGAGCTGAGGTGTGTGGGGCGGTACGCGTCGGCAGCGGGGGCTGGCACTGCTGGGACCCCTCGCGGGCGCCTTGCCCGACACCGTCCCTCAGCTCCACCGTCTCTGTGCCGGGAAACGAGGGTTTCGGGGGTCGGAGCCTGGCCTGGGGGATATGCGTGCCGGGAGAAGCGGGCCGGGCCTTGCTCTTGGCTTCTTTTCTCCCTCGGCTGAGGGGTGGGGCTGGGCGGGGGGG